TCTAGATATTAATTAAAAAATCTGTATTTCATTAACCGTTTCAGAGTTTTTTTATCAAATCAGTTGTACAACATATTCATTTTTTTTCCCTCCGGAGTCTGACTTTAAATTAAGTTGACTGTACAAGATTACATTTTATTAGAGATGTTATATATTCAAATAGTAGGGAGAGTCTTTATAAAAATGGTTTAAGTGTGTATTGGGAAAATTTAAAATATGGATCATCATTAGGTGTTCTGCCTGAAGGCAGGTCCCTCAAAAAGTTCTATTCCAGTATTCTAGGTCTTCTGCATCCCCTTAACTCTTTGTAACTCTTTCCATTCCGGATATCATCAAGCAGCAATTTAAACGCCACCTTATGCTTAATAATACTTGTGTATATAGTGAAAATGTAATATTATGACAAATTTTCGATTTCCATTGTAAAGAATATTTAAATTCATGAGCAAGTAGATCTTAAATGCTATCCACATTACTTTTCGAAACAAATTAAACTGATCAGCGTTGATCATTTGATTCATTTTTATGGGTTTCATTCTTCACAAGGACATACCGGTACTGTATTTGGTGTATTACAACTTGTTTTTGCAATGGTTGAGTAATTCATTGAATGTTACTGCTCCATTCGGCTAGGCACGCTTCCTTCCTGAGTTAGGCAGCCCGTCACTATCTCGTGAAATACTCTTTCCATTGCACTCACAGGCGTTCACTTTTTAATCATTTTGATTTAATTATTTGTACATTTCCATTGTGTTTTTTGAAGTTTTGTTGTAATTTGGATGCACCACTAAAGAATTGAATGTTTCCAATAAAGTTCGAAGTTCAAAGAGTCGGATAAATTACACTGCAGATTTCGAAACATATTTAGACGTTTTTAAATAGGTGGTAATAAACAAAACTTAATTACAATGCAGATTGATATATCATATTAATTTATGTGGTTTATTTATGTTGATTAACTATCTGGTGCGGTTAATTTAATTTTAATTAAGTATTTCTTGCTGTTAATTTGCCTTTTTATTTTTATTTTATAAGTATGTACTTACATATGTACTGTATGTGTGTATACTTACGTGTCTATGTGTGTGTACGCGCGTGTGTATGTGTATGTATATGTACGTGCATGCACCATACCATACACATATACCTCATTGGTTAAGTTAATTCTTTTCCTGAGAATCGCTACCATGTATTTACAAATTGCGTTCTACTTGTAAGTAGCAGGGAGATTGTTTCCATATTCTCCCTAATCATTTTGCTTTTTTCTGTTGTTTTGATCGTGCTGGTTTTAATACGGTAATTTTGATTGTTATGGTTTTATTATGGAAGCACCATTGATGTGATGTGTGCCGCTGTTAAAAAAGCGTTTTTTCCAAATAAATATTATTAATATTATTATTATTATTATTATTATGCAGAATTAAATATTCTTACTTTTCAGTTTACTAAATCCCTCTCAACTCCAGGGTGCCTCTACGTACAGAATGAGTAAAACTATAAAGGGTATATTGTCAATAACAATATACAAAATATAAAAATCGCTAAAAACAAAACGACATGTGTATACAGTGGAAAAAATGGTTTCAAAGAAATTATTCTTAAGTAAACAAATTAAATTCTTGTTTTGTAAATAATTTATATTGGTTCCGCGCACCCAAGTAATGGACGAATTTCGTTCTTTCGTGTGAATCAATAATCACAGGTATTAATGTAGCTTCCTTTAGGGAATAATCGCGAATAATGGATTCTAGTTTCTGTTATCAGTTGTAGCAGGGTCACCACGCACAGTTTAACAGCATGACTCCTAGATATATATAACATATCTTAAAATACATGTAAAATGGGGTACCTACATAATACATTAACATTAACTCTATCAGAGTTTGCATTTGGTTCATCGTCAAATATGCGGACCTCACATTCATACGATCCAGTATCTTCTCGCGTTGTGTTCGTTATCGCAATGGTTCCGTATTCATCAATGCTCACCTTTTCTATGTATTTTATAAACACCTGACTAAATCCGTTAAAGTATGTTGCTATAACATAAGTTGTACCATTAACCAGTTGTGTCCACTTAAAGTATACATTACCATCTGATGTTGAAAGAGACCTGGTATAGTTTACCATTAACAATGTTGTCTGGTATTCGGTAACGTACGTGTTGGGTTTTACATACACTGTTACTTCCACTGCAAAAGAACTATTGAGAAGAACTGGAAAAAAAATCAATTCATCAATTAGGTCTCTTTCCAAACTCTACTACATTAACAAATTAATCAAATGTTAGATTAGAGGCACATATCAGTGATAAACAATGTACAAGAAAAATAAATAAACGCAAACAACTAACTGATCGTAAATTGAATAATACAATTTAAATCGTATCAAGTTTAGCCCTAGCCTTCAAACTATGCTTGACACGATTACAGGGGCGAATTTAGGGGCGGGGGGCCGGCCCGGCCCCCCTTTTTGGGAGGTAAAAAAAGAAAAAGAAAAGAAAAAGAAAAGAAAAAAAAAAGAAAAAGAACCAAATGATAGCCCAGAACGCCTCAAATGTTATTTTCGGGCGTCTAGAACACACAAATTTTGACCCCCTACGACAGTGTTGTCTCGATCGGCCCAACTTTCGGCCCCCCTTCCGGGCCCCCCCCCCTTTTAGACATTTCTGGATCTGCCCCTGATAACAGCAAATATTTTATTTCCGGTGCTATACGCATCAAACCTAATGAATATGGATACAGTATTCTATGATTTTCAAAAGCTCCTTGGTACGACCTAGTTTCACGTTTGTTCACATTGTTTGAGCGTTTCAGTCAGTTTCGTTGCAGCGTTCGTATGAAAGGATGTGCCTGGGGGTTAGATCTGCCAGAGGGTTAGACTTATATATTGTATATGTACGTGTTATCACTGCGGAAGGGCACAGGTGTGCTCGAAATATTAAAAATTTGTTTATTTCTCTACTATATCAAACTATTACCTTCTTCTTCTTCCAATATTGTACAGACCACCAGCAATGGTGTATTACGTACATTGTGTGCATACTGGGTGCAGAATTGTGCAGGCGCATTAACGACAATTTTTATTTTTATATTTGCTTTTTAATTTTTTTTAAATTTTATTTTATTATTTTTTTTAGCTTCTTGTATGTATAGGTTAGTGTCGGAGGTTCATGCTTGAGGACCTCAAACTGTTCTTGAAGCAGTTTAGCGATGCGCTGTACACTAATTGTTGGGGCAGTCGATTCCACAAACGGATGGTGTCAGGGAAGAAGTAGCGCTGGTACATAGATGTCCTTGCGAAGGGGATGACATACATTTGTGTGTGGCCTCTAAGTTGCACACCAGCAGGAATTAGGTGGGTAAGTGGGATATCTACAAGGTTGTTTACAATGCAATACATCATCTCAGCTTTGGCAAAGTCTGCTTTTGTCTACTTTGTGTTTATACGTGTCTACTTTGTGCATTCGTATTTTATATACTACCAAGTCATATGTGGAACGTACACGGCATATATATATATATATATATATATATATCTAGATGTGTATAAGAGACAGGTATATGTACGTGCATGCACCATACCATACACATATACCTCATTGGTTAAGTTAATTCTTTTCCTGAGAATCGCTACCATGTATTATATTACATAGGCCTATATATACACATATATATATATATACATATAAATACATAATATATATATTTTATATATATATATATATATATATATATGCAGACACATAGATTGAGCACTGTTCCCTGGAATTAGCTAACTATACATACCTATCATAATGCATACGATAGAGATTATCATGGTACTTCACGGTAGTCTGTGAAAGCTGAAAATATATGTTTCAAATGCTTAACCTTAAATTTCTCCTGCTAGAATATTCCTAAGTTGAAGAGGACTGGTTTGTCTACAAAATACTACTAGAGTTTATATTACAGTAGTAATAATTATAATATGATGCTCACCTTTCAATTTCGATGTTATTGTATTCTTCTAATCGTCTAAACAAACGCCTCTTTTAACCATTAAAAATACTGCTTAACGAATCAATTGGTCTCTACATTTTGGAAATCACCTAATATAAGTAAATAAAAACCTTCAGAATTTCTTCTTGTTCACAGTCTCACAATCGCATTTTATGTTTAAAATTAATCAAATTGATGGGGGGTGGCTATCGGTTCCCCGCTATCTCAGTGCTCGCTAATATTTTCATGATTTGGCTCAACAAATTTAAAGATTGTAAAGTATGGTTTTACCAACGTTATGTAGATGATAGTTTGTTTATTTAATTCAGAACATGATGCTAACTTGTGATTCAATTTTTTTTAAATTGACGTCAGAACATTCACTGTGGAAAAGGAGGTGGAGGACACGCTTCCCTTCCTTGAGGTGTTCCTATCAAAATCCGAGAATAAACTATTCACACACATCAATATTTCGGAAAAAACACCTTTTCCCGCAGTTTTTGTTTTAATTCTTACAATGGTCAATGGTCATGAACTTATATAACGCCTTCCACAGAAAAAAAAAAAAAAAAAAAAAAAAAACAGCTTTTAAACCACAAGGAACAAAAACAGCAAAAAATATTTAATTATTTAATGAACTGATGGGAACGCGAAGGAGGAGGGGGAGGGGTGAAGGTGCACACCCCCGATTTGGGATAAGCTACGCCATCACTGCCGTGTACACGCAGGTACCTCCGCGTCAGTTTGATTGCCTCCGGTAGCTTCCACTAGGATAAGTACACGCCTCGTCTAAAGTGCACTGCTAAGTTGGTGGCGCTACCTCAAGTAAGTAGGTGCGACTTTTCAGAGTTGAAAAAACCTTAACTACTGAAATGAAATAATAAATAAATTAAGCTGACCATGATTGCCCTCCACTGTGACAGAACATACAAAATCAGTAGTAGTTGGCCTGGGTTTCATGTAGATATTAGACATTTGATTGCCACCAAAAAAAAAAAAAAAAAAAAAAAAAATATATATATATATATATATATAAATCTTCTAGTTGGTCTTCGTTCTGGCCTACAAATTTACTTGCGGAAGCGTAGGCCTAACGCCTAATTCGCATATCGGCAAAACTGGTCGTCATTTATAAACACACCTAAAGGTACATTTAACAACGGAATAAAAAAATTGCATCTTTTTTATAAGCTCTTAACTATTTCTCACAAATGTAAGGTTATGCAACCAGGGCTGTTTCAAAATAATACCATAAAGCCTAAAGCCACGAATTGAAGCCCAGTGGACTTAATCTCGAAATGAAGCCATCTCAAATTGAAGCCCCCTCTTTAGTTTGCAAAATTAGCCTCGATAAGAAGCCCATGGGCTTCTCTTCAAGATAGCATAGGCTTCTATTCGAGTACAAACACTATACATGAATTTCAAAAAAACAAAATAGGGCCTAAATTAAAAACAAGCTTGGTTTATACAGTTGTTTAGGTAATTTAATGCCATTTAAATGCTCTTCATGATACAGATTGATGTTACAGTAGCCTTATTTATTGTTGTATAGTAAAAATTCACAAAATTTACAGCATTCATTTTGAAAAGAATCCCCCCCCCCCACCTTACCTCTTTACTTTGCAAAAGTAGCCTCGAAAAGAAGCCCATCTCGAAATAAAGCCCATCTCAAAAAGAAGCCAATTCAAAGTTCGCAAAAATAAAGAAGATGCCCAGGGCTTCATTCCGAGGTTTTACGGTATGTTCTGCCAATAATTTTATTAACGGAAATCAAAGAAGCGCTGCATAGGTCTACAAACAGTTGGAGCCGTCCTCCCTTAATACACAATTACAACATGTAAATGTAACTCTTTCGTTCTAATCCATTTACTCACCTTAATTCATGCCTAAATTTCCTTTTCTGTTTCGTTCAATTCATTTAATTATTTTCCGCCTGCCATTTGTTTTTATTTATTTATTCATCTCTACACTGAGGATGGCAGTTGCCTGCAAAAACTTGTTTGTGTCGAGTTTTTAAATGAAATAGTTAGTTAGGTCTATCCCTGTCTCTTATACACATCTTATCTTCTCGCGTTGTGTTCGTTATCGCAATGGTTCCGTTTTCATCAATGCTCACCTTTTCTATGTATTTTATAAACACCTGACTAAATCCGTTAAAGTATGTTGCTATAACATAAGTTGTACCATTAACCAGTTGTGTCCACTTAAAGTATACATTACCATCTGATGTTGAAAGAGACCTGGTATAGTTTACCATTAACAATGTTGTCTGGTATTCGGTAACGTACGTGTATGTTCAAATAACAGCCAGGTCAAGGTAAACCTATTTATATAGTTATATCAAAGTATGGAATCGCAAGGTTCTTCTAATTTTGTATGCACAAAATGAAACGAAAAACATAGTACGGTACAGTACTACTACTTAGCGGCGCTGTACGTATAATTAACAAGTTTAAACAAGCGTTCTTTACACACGGCGCGCATTCAATATAAATTGTGAATACAGTACATTGAATAATAACAATCAAATCAATCAAATTATGCATAAATCGGAGTATTTTTGGAGAGGGAGGGGGGTGGCCTGAGAAATCGGGTGAAAATTACATTCAATCGGTAGAACTGGAGATTTATTTAAATATCGGGTGACACCCGACAGAATCGGGTTTAGTTGGCAGTTCTGCAGTATGCCTGAAGAAACATGTACAGCTCAAATGTAATATGTAATGTATAAAACAAAATTTATATCTTGCTTTAAACTTAGTTTGTCACTTTATTGTTTTAAATGTTTTTCTTCCTTAGCTAATGTAACATTTTATGTTATTTTTGAAGACTTTTAAATACAATTTTAAGTGTTTTTGTTGTTAAAAAATGATCATTCGTAATGACATCATCGCCGCAAATTGGGTTTGTAAAATTGAGAGTTCGTATAAATGGGAGGTTCGTACAGGGTAATTGGGAGACGTTACAGTAGTTCCTCTTGAGAGGCAGACCTCTTTCCATTTCAACAGTAGTACTTTACTGTAGGCCTGTGTTTTCTTCTGCGATGTCTCAGGTTATTCCGTGCACATGCATTTGACTTGTACAGTAAACAGATTAAAAAATTTCTGTTATCAAGCCTAGTCCT